AGGATCTGCCTTTCATGAATTCGTGTTGATCTGAATATATAGATCGGGAGATATGATTTGATAAATGATCATGAAGAACGAATTCTCTTAGCAAAGTTACATATAATACTAATAGGTCTATAATTTTGAACATGATTTTTATTGCCTTTTTTATGAACTGGAGTTACACGAGATTACTTCCACTCAATAGGGATAGTGCAAGATTTTAGAATTTTATTAAAAATTTTATGTAGAGGAGTTGCAAAAATGTATGCACAATCTTTAATAATAAAGGCAGGTAGCAGGTCAGGCTCCATTGTCATATTTGGTTTCAATTTTTTAATAGCCTTGATAAATTCGTCTTGTGACATTGATTTTATGTATAGCGTTTTATGAAATAGGCACCTGGTCAGGGTTGCCAACTTTTCAAATTCCATTTACCGTACGCGCAATTCAAATTACCATACAAAGGGGTCTATTCTGTAAAAATTCCTTTATATTTAACGGCCTTTAAAAATATGTTCTTCTTTAATTCGGTCACTATTTAAACGGATCTTTAATATACATTAGAGGACTATCTTAAAGAAATGTGTTTAAATAATGACAGAAGTAAATTAACGAATACGAAAATGTTTTTAAAGGCCGCCAATATTTTTAAAGGCCGTTAAATATAAAGGAATTTTTACAGAATAGACCCCAATACCGTACACTTTTATTTTGTAGAAAAACTGCATATGTATAAATATCTTTCCAATATTTAATTTTTAATAGATGAAATATGTATTGTAAATAAAAATAAGTATTTTGTCGAGCTTCTAAAAAAAGGCCTCAGCTTTTAAAGAACGTGTGCTATAAAAAGATTAAAATGATATTTTTACATTAAACACTGTCATTTTAGTCTTCTTTTGGTAATTTAAATTTCGTTTAATACAACTCAAAGTGTTTGCTAATTCTGTTCAAAATACCGTACGTGTCCCGTACTTTAATTATCGTACAACTGCGGTAATTACCGTACAGTTGGCAACCCTGTATCTGGTTTATATTTGGAGACACTGTATTTGACATTTGTGGTTCAAATGAATGTATTATTCTGTTTGATATGTTCGTTTTGAAATGCAAATACTCATCAACATAACCTTCGGCAATCATATTTGGCCGCCAACCAGCGTTTCAGTGTTAACAAATGAGTTCCTGCATTTTTTAACATGATTGCCAATATGTGCTCTATGTACAATTGTGGATTCGTTAACTTTAGAAATGGTACAATTTCTTGAGGTATTTAACCGAAGATATCTTTTTATAATAAATTGTAAACATTATTATTTATAATCATTATGGACATAGACCCAGTTCTTCAATCGGTACTTTCCTATGTTTTTTCATATCACTTATTTATTTAACAATATAAGTCCTATTCATTGTTAATTGTTCTTTGAATTATATAAGAGTTTGATAGCAATGAAATATAACTATAACTTATTTATTGATTACACCATATTAAAAACAAGTATCAAAAGTAATTTTAAAACCCGACTTCAAAATCGTGCAGATGATGTTACCACATCTTAAGCAAATTTATATGGGACCACCCCTGAGGTACCCCCTTACTAACAAAAAAAGAATCATAGAAATTTGACAAGGTGGTAAAGCTAAACATACATTAAAAATGAAGAGTTTGATGACTTTTCCAATGGACCCAACTATTATATTTTGACCAAATTAATATGGGACCACCCCTGAAGTACCTCCTTTATGACAAAAAATAATCATTAAAATCAGACACCGTGTTAATAGTCCAATTAAATAACGAAAAAAAGCCCCATCGAGCTTACATTAATTTGTAATTGGATGAAACAAAAAGGACCTTGTGTATTTTGATGTGATCTTTCCGCAAAAAAGAAAAAAAAGATGTAGCAGTTTTTCAATTTTTTTTAAATTAGGAAAAACCGGGTTTTCCAGAATTTTCCATTGTAAAAATGCTAATTATCTGGGCAAGTATCATTCCGATAGTAAAAATAAATGCACCATTCGAAAGATGAGGCTAAAATAGTTCGGAAATTCATTGCACAGGTAGTTTTAATGGCGAATTTCTCGCCGCCAGAAGTGCTTTTATCAAAAAGTCGTTTTTTCGTTTTTTTGATCAGAACCATGGACATGAAATTTGCGATGAATTTGTGGCGAAATTATAAATGTTAGACATATGTGCCCATGAGAGAAGTTGCGTATTTTTTTGTTGACTCTAAAATAAAATAAGTTCCGCGGCGAAATCTGACATAATTTTTCGGGAATTCGCAGGAAACCAGAGGCGTAGTTTTTTTAAATTTTTTCCCATATGATTTTTTCCGGGTTTTCCGAAAACATCTAACAAAAAAAATATATTTGCAAAAACTAACTTCGCCATCGAAAAGAGCACAAAACAATACACAAAAAGGTATACTTTAAAAATGTTAGGAAATTAATCCTAAGCCTGAGTGTAAGTTCCAACTTGGTGATAAGCTTGCTTTTTGTTCGATAATATCTGGTAATTCCATATTTTGCACAAAACTCAAGAAACGTTTCTTATAACAAGTCAGTAAAATACAATTTAATAAATTTTAAGCCTAATAAATTTAGATATGCAAGAAATTTAAAACTGGAAATCGCAAAAAAATCAAATTACAGTAATGTAGTGTATACACGAGTTTTGGATCCCGCGGAGCGCGTGTAATGGGACTTTTGTCGGGAGAATTCTACAACTTAGAAGAAACATACACACTTTAAACTTTGTATACACATTTAGAAGACATGAAATTTGGGTTTGTTTAATTTTCAGACAAAAAAACTAAAAATTGTCAATTTTAGGCAACTTTTCTCAAAAACCGTGTTTTTTGGTCGTCACTCAATGAACAGTGGTCAAAAAAATAGATAAAATATATTTACAGAATTTTCCGCAATGTAATCGTATTCTAGACACAACAGAGTACTCAAAAAAAAAGTTTTGAGCCATTGGGTGCATTTTTGTGCCACTTCAAACTGTCGAAAAAAAAAAAAAATTTTTAAGGAAAAAAAAATTTTTTAAGAAAAAAAAAAATTATTTAATTGTTTGATATCTTAGCCAATTATGGTCCAATGTCGGTGAAATTCACACACACATAAGATTTCACATTTAAAATAAGCTTTGTAAGTGGCATTAAAAAAATTCAAATAGTTTGACCGTTATAGGCAAACAATGAAATTAGGACCGCGGTGCATTTTGCCCTTCCGCCATATGCCCAATTTTGGGATTTCTCTTGCCCCCTTCTGGGAATCACTAGTCACATCCCTTAAGTTCAAAACGCATTTTTGTTTTTTCAAATATCTTAATTTTTACCAATGTTATAAACAATTTAGTGTTTGAACATTTAACAAATTCAATTTTTCGACCTTCGTCGCCTCAAAATACTAAACAAATTTCAATCGTCCATACCGCGAGAACGGTGCATCGGATCAAAATTTCTCAAGAGACATAAAAATTAGCATTTTTCCTAAGATTTCAAATGTCGTAAACTGCGTTTTAAAAATATTGATTTATTTCCGACATGCGCCTGCGCAAAATTGCAAAATTGACAAAATCCAAAATTTCGGCACTTTCGAAAAACTGCTACATTTTGTTTTGCCTTTTTTCGAAAAGATCACCTCAAAATACATAGAATCCATTTTGTTTCATCTAATTACAATTTAATGTAAGCTCAAAACCCGTAATTTAATTCGATTATAAAGAATTATCGCTGAACATACATAAAAAAATATATTACGACAAATTGAGAACCTCTTCCTTTTATGAAGTCGGTTAAAAAGTATTGTGTCATTCATATTAAAAATTAGGAATGGGACACAAAACAACTGAAGATTCTCTGATTAAAAATGGGTTGATAAAATATTACTACTTTTCGAAATACAGGGTGTTAAAGTTGAAAATTTCAAATACTATTAATGGCTATAAGTTTTTTATTTCTCAGTATAATTTTACTAACTTTGGCAAACTTTGTTGGAGTCATAAGATACACATAATAGAAAAACAATCAGTTAAATAAACTTTACCAGTGGCGCACAACATGAATAAGTAACACTTTCATCCCCTATAATTTTTTCTACTGCGGGCCATGTGGCCTCTCCCACCTCGACCTTTTCAGATCTATTGTGGATATCCTTGAATCGTTGTTTAGAGTATCTTGTCTAATTCGGTCTTTTGTAGTAGACTCCATAGACTGGGAAATAATTCTCCGGTATAGCTAGTTGCCCTTGGTTTTTCTTCACCAAGTGTAAGGAATCTCAGTCTTGGTAGACCTTCGCAGTAGCACAATACGTGTACTGCCGTTTCCTCCTCTTCCCGACAGAATCGGCACAAGGTCTCTTCTGTCACACCGATATTATACATGTGTTTGTTAAGCCTTACAAAATTTAGAAAATAAGTTTTAATAAAGAATATCCACCTTTAAGTGTGAATATCTCGAAAACCAATCACTTTTTGAGTTCGCAAAAGGAGTACATGATTTATTTAAGAAACATCAAAAAATATAAAAGTATAGTCCAAGTAAGTTTTTGAACAGTGGCGTAATAGTATATTATGTAATAAGAGTTGTAAGTAACCCATTACGTACGAAAAGAAAAAGTTTCGCCACTGTTCAAAAACTTATTTGAACTATACTTTTATATAGGCGTTTTAGTCACTAATTTCAGCGAATTTTAAAAAATCATTAACAAGAGATTAAGAGCTTAAATTTGGGGATTATATTAAGAATAGTGCTGTTGAGGAATGCATTTATTTTCATTATGATATTTCAAAATTTAAAGCCGATTATTTTTTTTCTTGGAAACTGGAAAGAATTCAAACTTTAAAATATATCCATATTCTGGATATTATTGCCTCATTTATTTTGCCAAAATTTTAATTTAAAAAAAAAATTACTTTTTGAGATATGCTTGTCCGAAAATTATAAGGGCTGATGTAATCACCTTAACATTGCATAAATAACAAACATTTTATACATATTATTTTTTAGGGGGTTGGAACGAAGATGGCAAAGGTGAAAACATATGGGACAGATCGGTCCATTCCATACCGTCACCCATATTTAACAAAGAGACCGGAGATATAGCTTGCGATTCATATCATAAATACAAAGAAGATATAAGACTACTCAAAAATATGGGCGTGGACCATTATCGTTTTTCCATATCGTGGTCCAGAATATTACCAACAGGTAATTAAACCATTTTATATGCTACTTTAAATCACCCAGTATAATCTAATTCAATTTCACCATAATATCGAATGTTTATCTTGGACGAATTACTTAAAAAACTACGTCATTCCAAACTATAACCTTTACCATCTGAGTTAAGCTCATAATACCAGTTCTGGGCTTGAACTAAAACACTATTGGACCGTACCAATTTTTAGACTAAACATTCCTTCGAATATTTTGAATGAAATATTTAGAGAAATCTAGAAAAAGTGAAACGAAATCGTATTAGGCATAGCAAATTGATGACTCCAAGGCAGGATGCTTGTCTCCCTGATGTCAAATGGTTAACCCTTTCAGCCCCACTTTTTTATTTTTAATATTACAAGATTTAAAACAAAAAAAAAATGATTAATATGTTTTAGAAATATATTTTTTAGAATAAGTACAGTTTCTAAAATTTTGATTTTTAATATTGACAAGTGCGTGCATTTTTGTTGAGATAATCCAGTGTCAGAGACGGGTCAGTGACAACTAGATATAAAGGGCGGTTTTTGGTGTTCATCCTGAATATGTTACGGACCTTAATGTCATATTCGGCCACCAGGTCATCCTCGATGTGCTGTGTTAGTGTGCCTTCAGCTAGTGCCCTCAGCACAAAGGCATGCGACTTGTCTTCGCTCGTGGTATATGTGTGGTGTGCAATGTTTTCCTCCTTCACGCTTTGCAGAACCCGTTGATGGTCCTCTTTTTCATCCACGAAAAGTATTGTGGAGCTATTCGTGTGCTTGACACTGAATCCTCCTTTTTTCTTTGCTGAGGTCATGAATTAGTGCCGTTTGGTTGATTGTTTTACCATCTATTACAATGGGGGGCATTAGGGCTTTTTTTATTGTTGGTGGCGGCCTGTTCTGTTTTGACAGGGGGTTTGTTTTTGTTAACTGCTAGGGCAGGATCACTTGTGGAGGGTTTTTCAGTAGTTTTGGCCATTATAGAAGTATATTTGGGGGTATTTTTCCATTTTCTCTTGAAGATTTTTCCGATTTCATCGTCAAATTCGGAATCGGAGTCATCCGTGAGGACATTGTATTTGTTGCTCGTCGTAGTCCTCCTCTGACGTGTACTCTGATGAGTTAAAGTTGTGAATGGTGCCCTGAACAGTTTTTGGGATGTCTGTTGGCACGCTGGGAGTCGAATCTTTGTTGGAGTTTAAGCTGTAGGTTTTGCCCTGTGGGTCTGTGTTTTCTTTACGTGTAATTATTGCTTTTTGGGATGAAGCTTCACCGAGATTCAGGATACTCAGTTCACGCGTCCTTCGGCTAGACTTCATTCCTGCAATATCATTTGTTTTGATGTTTTCCTAGCTATTGAATCTGGGTCTGTATATCTTTGGTATAGCTCCAGTGTTGCATTTTGCTAGTTGTGCAGTGTGTGATTCGGTGCCTGGACCGAAATTCAGGGTTCTAACCCTGGTATCTGTGGGCATTTCCATCCTTTTAATGACCATTTTCGTGGGATGTTTCGATTCCGCCACATAGGCCGATTGGAATATTTCTTTTTGCGGCATTGGGGTGCTCGTGTTGTTTGGGAGGGGTAGTGGTGTCTCTTGGCTCTGGATACCTTGGGGTGCGGGGTTATTTACCCCTTCTGTGGGGTTGGGTTTGTTGGTATCCGTTATTGTGTTCGTGCTGTCGTCAGCGTCTACATAATCATCGGATTTATCATCACTAGCACTTCTGCTTAGGATGGGGGAATTTAAGTTGTGTGTTTAAGTTTTCCGAAGTTTTTTGTAAGCCAGTCTCTATGATGATGGGATCAGGTTTCTCCTGATCGGGAGTGGCGTCTTCTGGAGTATTGTCCTCCTGTTGAGGGTTGTTTTTAATTGTTGTGTCCATGCTTTCCTCAGAGCTGGAGCATTCGTTAAGGTCCCCGTAAACTTCCTCTAAGAGTGTTTGGGGGTCATTTAGAGGTCGTTTAGGGGAATTTTTAAACAAGGGTTCCCCTGTGCTGGGCAGCTGATCCCTGTGTTAGTTTTAATGTCAGTTAATCCCAATAAAGTGGCTTTACTCACTGTGAAGTTAGTTTGTCGCTTGTTTTTGGCCTTAAGATGCTCTGGTGTTTGTATAGTGGATATATTTCTGAGCTCTTCAGTGTGCCTCCATCTGTTTCGTTGTCGCTTCGAATATATTGTTGGGTACTAAGCGAGATTGGGGTTGCCTGCCCCGGAGGGCTCTGTCATAGAGCGGTTACTCCAACTACTGGTTTATACTTATCCTGGCTGTCTCGAACGTTAAATAATACTTAAAAATTGATAGCTTGTAGGTTAGTAACCTGGCGTCGCAAATCGGAACTACGAGAAGAACAAAATTTGGTAAACCTTCCTATGACAAGTACATAGGTATACTAGCGAGTTTTGCCTTCAACTGGTAGATGCTCCTTAATATTTAGCATATGTCTTTTTGATGGTCTAACAATGGATCGTTTTCGATCGTGTACTTTTGATTTTTCTTTACCAAAAGCAATAATTTCTTTGACAAGTTGGATTACAAAATCTAGAAATGGTAATTTTTGTCTGTGAAGTTCATTATATATTATCCAGTTATTAACTGCGGCAACCATTAGTAACCTATAAAAAACTTTTTTCCACCATTTATGCGACTTGCGGTCCATGTCTCATATAAGCCTAACATTTGGTCAGCTAAATCCACTCCACCCAAAAATTATTATAGAATTCTATTGCATCTGGACATTCCATATCTTTTCGTATGCCATCTTTACCTCTTCGTTGAACAACAGTCAAGTTTTTTCCGTGGCAGTTGCTAAGCACTGTAACCTCTTTGGTGTTTTGCAATTTGACACAAATGGTACCATACTTATTTCCAAGAATTTCGGACTTGCCTCTGTTTAATTTTTTTATAATCTTTAGTATATTTTTTCTATTTACCATAACAGTTCCAACTAATGGAAATGGAATGTTAGTCATAAATTTTACAGATGTAAAAAATCTGTCGAAACATAATACGACTTCTGTTGACTTTATCGTAATGGCTAATTTGTACACAACTCTTTCGCCAAGCATTTCTTCTTGTTGCTGATTATCCTTGCCAGCATAAATATTCATGTCATAGGTATAACCATTGCAAGAATCACATCTAACCCATATTTTGATTCCTCGTTTAGTGGGTTTCATTGGTAAATACTGCTTTAGTCCCGAACGGCCTTTAAATTTTACCATACTTTGATCAATACTTTGCCTGGAAGAATCTGCTCAACATTTTTGGAATGTTGACTTTAAGACAATTCACTAGTTCATCCACATAATGTTTTAGAGGTACCCTGCTTTCCTGGATCATTTACGTATAATATAGATGATAATAATAACAATGTAAATCTATTTCTAGAAATACTATTGTTTATTAGTGTATTTCCTACTGAAGGATGTGTAGACCAATAATGTCTAAGACCTGGCAATCTGTTATAACTCATTACTTAGGGGAGATCCTAAAACAATTGCAATTTCACCTACATCGGTTTTAGTAAAGCGTTTCTTTTTCTGTTTTTCTAATATTGTCAGCCTTTTATTTGTACACTCAAAAATAAAGATGAATTAACTTGGAGGAAACAATTTTTTGAACACCTTAAATAGTGCCAAAGATCTTGTAAATCCGTTGTCTAATTCGCTTATTTTTTGCAGGAATGCTGAATCTTGGTAGAAAGTCATCAGAGAGGCTTGACATAATGTCTTCATCTTGATTTTTATTGTTTTCTTGTATTTCTTGATATTGGTCTTCATTTTCTGTGCGATCATCGTTTCTCTTTCACTATCTGAAAATTCTCTTTCACTATCTAAAGATTCTCCGTAATCTTCACTTATTTCCCCATCCTCACCGGATTTGGAAGATTCTGTTTCGGTTTCATAATCTATATCTCTATCATCATCTATATCTTCATCTTCAGAAAATTTGCCTAATAATTTAATTCTGTTTCTGATAATGCTCTCTTCGACATACTGTAACTGAAAAACCACTGGGTTTTATACGTCCCACTTGTAAATACCACTGGGATATTTTTGTTCCAGTAGAAAATGACATTTTTTTTACTTGGTTTTTGAAATAAATTTTGCGAATAGATATTATGTTTATAATAAATTTATGTTTAAATTTAATAACCAGTTAAAATTTTTATGAAAGAACTGGAAATAACGCAAAAAGCTCCAAACACGTCTAGCACGCTTGTAAACAAGTGAACAAATGACCGGTAAACAACAAGCCACGTTGCCAGAACTTCTCTATTTTCAAGAATATGCTTGAACAATACCATTAATCAAATAACACATTAAAATTGGGTCATATTTATACCAAATAGAAATTTTAAATTCTCGCCGGGACATATATAGCCCAAGGGGACTGAAAGGGTTAAAGCACTAGTATGGAAATATAGCTGGTTCAAATTCACTTCAGGCCATGTGGAGTTTTTTAAATTTTTCATCAATTTTTTTTATCAATTTGTTTCATCCATTTTTTCATCTTGTGAGTTTAAAGAGATAAAATTCATAACTAGATAATTTTTCATTAAATTTTTGCAGGATACGCCAATCAGATCAACGAAGCTGGAGTAAATTACTACAAAAATTTAATTAAAGAAATACGAGCCAACGGGTTAGAACCATTAGTAACAATATATCACTGGGACCTCCCGCAACCATTACAAGATTTGGGGGGCTGGCCCAATGAATACATAGTGGATCTATTCGAGGAATATGCCAGAGTGGCATTTACCTTATTTGGAGATGATGTAAAACAGTGGATAACCATAAACGAACCAAAACAAGTGTGCCAAGAGGCCTACGGTTCCGGAATAAAAGCACCTTTTATTAAGTCGCACGGACTTGCGGAATACTTGTGTACTCACAACGTTATTAAGGCGCATGCCAAAGCATGGCACTTGTACGATGATGAATTTAGGAATAAACAGAAAGGTAAGCATAAGAAAAAAGTATTTAGGTATATTCATGTACAAAATCAAGACCAAATTATTGTCTTGCATCAGATCCTTTCAGATCAATTGTGAGACTATGTTATTTAGAGTATGTCGTCTCCCTTGGTCTCTTTTATCAGACCTTTGACAGTGGCTCTCACGTATAGTTCGTCTTGGTCTTACATAGACGGTCTTGGGCTTGCTGCAAAACTTGTAAACTCTCACAAAAAAAAAGATTTGCGAAGGAATACCGGTCACGCGCATATAAGACATGCCGGTGGCGAATGTGCTAGCAACATCGATAGTATATTATTTCTTTTATTGCATTATTTATCATTTCATTAAGCAAAGCAGGCCCAAAGGTTTGATCTTGCACTGAATAAATGAAATAATAGACTCCTGGAAACTTCTGGTGCCAGGTAGTTTTGAGGGGAGGCCATCTTTAATTTGTCACACAAATGAAGGATATCAACTTTATAAATGTTTGACAAGAAAAAACCAACAGTCACAATCGTGGCTGATAAATATTGATGCTTTAAGTAACATTTTTACTCTATATTTAAAAATAAGGGTACGTATTTTTACTTTTGAACCAAATTCATATTTCTTTATCTGCCTCCTATTTGGTACAAAACTTTTAATATTTATAGACTAAGATATGCCTAAACTTTTGTCAACAATAAAACTTGCTGTGAAATCAACAATAAAAAAGTTTTGCAGGTGCCTTAACGTTTACAACATACTTTGTGTCTACTGTCATTAGTAAAACTATTAATTCGCAATACACAATATCTCAGTAGCAAGATGGTTTTCTCACCACAGATAAAACTATACTTACTTATGACGCCTTATTTCTTAAATTCCTCGGGCGCCAGTTTTATTAACGTATTAACCTTTCGATGTAGCTCTTGAAGCCTCAGCTGGAGGTATACGGTGAATTGCAAGGAAGTAATTTTATCTGAGTTTTTCGCTAAGTTAATGAAAAATCTTTTATATGTGCGAGATGCTTATATGAAAGTAATTCACATTACAGACAGAAGCATAAATCGCTAAAAAACCATACAAACAATATTCAAAATTAGTCCAGTAACTGAAGACATGAAAATATGCAAAGCTGTCATTTAGTCGGTCCAGATTTCCTTTGTGGCTCATTTCTTAGGTCTTGACGGTTGCTTTCAAGGGCGAAAACTTTTACCAACACTGCTGGGTTGGAAAGGGCTCAAAGTAGCCCCTAAAGTCCGAAAAAATGGTTTCCCGCTAATATCTGCCAAAATATACAAATTAGACAATTTTTTTTTAATAAAAAATGAAGATCGTATTATTAGCTACAAAAATGGTCCCTGCCATTTTTTTCGCAAGACGAATATTTTTTGCAAGAACGGCCTTCGAAAAAGCCCGAATTTTTGCACTGAATAGAAATGTTAGTTTCTCACTAAATTTTCGCTCGAGGGAGTTGGTAATACATTGATTTTCATGTTTTGGACTTTGGAGATCAATTGTAGATGGCGCCAGCGGCATACCTCTGCTCACTAAATTATGGGGCCTATGAATGGAAATCCGGACACCAATCGATCTTTCGACAATTATTGGCGGATTCTACGGGATTTTTTCTGTAAAGTAGCGCTTGGGGTATCTCATCTATATTGCCGAATGTTCTGTGTAATTTGCGTTGCAAAATTTAATAGAAAAGTGCAAAAAATTTTTTTTCATGTGGCAGTCTCAAATCCCGGCGCTTTGCCAAATAGTGAGTTACTAGTTTTAGAGTGTGATGAATATTGACCCGAGAAGACCCTTTATATTTTCTGGTCTTTTGCAAAATTTTCGCCAACTTCTATCGGATCAATATAGGTCCAGGATTTCAGAAAAATAAGAAAGTTTCTGAAAAATTTCTTTTATTATGAAAAACATGTTGAAAATACGAAATACATAGCAATGCTTATAATTTATCATACGTTAAATCATTCAATGTCATCAGAATCATACTCTTCATCGTCTTGCTCTTGCTCTATTCCTTCCCCTCCTCCACGCGTCCCTTCCCCCTGTTTTTCCAACCCCTGTGTTGCTGTCTCGACAGCTATTTCATCTTCCTCCCCTTCAACCCCTTCTGGGTCTCTATACATCTCTAATTCTTCCGGGAAAATACCTTCATTTTTGTTATAATTAAAACACTGTGTCGACTGACACGAACCACAGACAGGCGAGCATTTCAGTCCGACTTTCAAACAATTCTTCTCGCAGCCTGCCTTGCACTGACAAAAAATCATCTTCAAGAGTTCCGGGGGGCTGGATCCCTTGTGGTTTGCACCGGTAGCGTACATCTTCTGCACGTTTCCATTCCCATTCCTCAAATTCTTGAAAATTCAAGAATGACGTCGAATTTTTCACTTTAAAAACTTTTTTAACAACTTAATTGATAATGATAAAATACTATCAATATTTTTCTAAAATACTATCAATATTTTTCTAAAATACTATCAATAATACCAACAATAACGACTTCAAAAACAACAGAGATTGTGTATCAACAAAAGCAGACGATTAAGGTGAGCGCGTGGCGCGTGGGTACACGTGGTTAGGTTATGATGGAATATCATGGATCTCAGGCGGAGAGCGTAAAAATGGGGGAGATAATTCTAACAAACAGTTAAGAACCACGCTCACATACGGGGATCAATTGATAGAAATGGAAAGGTGAGAATATCAGCTTCACTTCGGCCTGGGTATTAATGTTTAAAAAATGAACAGCGGGGAACAAGAAGTATTTAAAAAAAAGTCTGGTTTTCCCCAGTGTGATCAATTTTCCCGATTTCTGGAAAATGAAGCAACTTTATTAAAAAAAAAAATACATTCGAAAAGTAGACACTCTAAGCTTTAAAATGGTGTACATTGAGTAACAATATAATGAAATGAGTATTTAATTACTGCTTGTTTCAAAGATTTCTAGAACTCCGAAAACGTATAAAAAATGCAAATAAACAAATCAATTTTGTTTCAAAACGCCAGGAAGATACTGGAAAAAAATTTCTGAGATCATTCGAGACATCTCAAGATCCCATTTAAAACGAAAATGGGATAAAAAACTATTAAAAGAAAAAAATATGAATGAATTACTATAAAGTGGTCCAAAATAGTGGGAAAACGCAACTTTGACCCCTTTTTCAATGTTCTTGACAGGAAATAACGAGCGTCAAGGCACATGGATCGATACCTATGGGTTTTCCCATTGTAATGAACTTTGAATCATCGAAAAATATCAATTTTTGACCGAGTTCTGAAACAATTTGTCCACCCGTTTACAAGCTAATCAGCATTGCTATAGATATAAAGCAGGGGCTGAACGAGGGGACTTTTGATTACGGTTATCTCGAAACCTGTCGAATTCCTGACAAAAATGATAGGAAACATTTTTGTAGATAATGCTAAGATCTTTCTTTTTTATCTAAACAAAAATTCTCTAATTTGAATATTGTGGAAATATTGGCGGGAAACCAGTTTTAGGGTCCATTTTGGGTCCTTTTCGACACAGTTGGTAAAAGTTTTCGACCTTGGAAGCGACCGCCGAGACCTAAGAGTTGAGCCACAACGGAAATCTGGACCGTCTTAATGACAAGTTGGTCCCTTCAGTTACTGGACTAAATTATATATTGAAAAATCTATTTTTTATCGTTTCTCCAATAACAAGAACTCTTAAATACGCTGCATTTTAATTATTTAGGTCGCGTGGGCATCGTTATCGACACATTTTGGATGGAACCTGCAAGTGACAGCGAGGCCGATATTAATGCAGCAGAACGACAGCTTCAATTTATTGTAAGTATTTTTTTTTAAGAAGACAAGTAACTGTAACGAATAGAATAAATTCACAGGGTGTTTCCGAAAGGTTGGGACATAACTATAGACATAACTTATCAATACGCGTAAAAAAATGACAATACAAATTAGCGACAACAAGTAGGTTTTTGACGAATTGATAATCTGCAGGACTTTGACCAGCTGAGAGGCTGGCTGTCCCTAGACATCTCTCAGTGACAACCAGCAGGTTTTGACGAGTTGACAAACTGCAGGACTTTGATGAGCTGATAGGTTGGCTGTTTCTATACACTTCTAAGCCACACCTACCAAGTTTCTGACCAGTTAATAGGCAAGTCTTATTTGCCTGGGGGTGCAGAGTGGGCTTAGTAACTGATGTAAAACAACCCAATCTGCCCAACTTACAGATACATAACATACTTATTGATTTTTTTTATAAATTGACTTTTTTACAATTACAATGATTTTAGTTCGGTTGGTATGCAAACCCAATACTAAGAGGAGACTACCCATGGCAGATGAAGAAATTCATAGGAGAAAGAAGCGCCAAACAAGGTTTTAAAACGTCTCGTCTTCCAGAGTTTACCAAACAAGAAATCGACTACATAAACGGCACTATAGATTTCCTTGGAGTGAATTACTACACAACCAATATGGTTAGCGAAAAAAACGATACCGTTAGAAATGAAGTTTCTTGGGAAGCTGACGCCGAAACTATCAGATTTGTCAAACCTGAATGGCCATTTTCGACCACTTGGTTAAGGGTCGTACCATGGGGCATTGGGAAAGTGATGCATTGGGTAAAAAAGACGTATGGTGATATTCCTATTTGGATTACCGAAAATGGCATGGCTACTTATGGAGAGAGCCTGGAAGATGATAACAGAATCGAATATTATCAGGTAAATATTAAAAAAAAAATTCGAAAATAATTAAAATTATTTTAATGTTCCAATGTAATTTTCGACTAGCTAATGATATTAAGAATACATAAATTACATTGCTAGAGGCGCTTTTCTTATGTAAAAATGGTTTGCCGTCAAATATCATGAAATTTGAATATATTGTACTTTGTAGTACTTGATCACTGGACCAAAAATATCCATTTATTTACATAAATCCATAATTTTAAAGGTAGAGGGAGTTAAAGTTAAAAATTCATAATTTTTTTAATCTAACTTAATAAAATACGAATTAATTTATAGTTTTGGTTACTTGTGCAGACTGAGGGGCTCTAATGTATTAAAAAAATACATAAAAGTTGTTTATAATCTTCACATATACAGGACGATGAGAAATTGGGATTAAGGGTCAGTCTTTTTACCTTCAGATAAAGGATGTGAGAGATAACTAAGTTCTGTCTTTTCAAGAAAAATAATCTGTAAGGAGGTATCCGGTAGTTTATCCATTAAATAAGTAGTTTATTATAATTTTCGTAGGCAAGATAAGTTATCCAGATGACTTTGTAAGTTATCTGGGAGATACAAATTACCTGAAACTTTATCTGAAGGTACAAAATCCAAAGTGGAAGCAGAAATGAAATCTCACAGTACGCTTGTAATTGTTACATTAAAAAACTCATCCTACAAATTAGGTATCTAGGGTGATTTAAAATATGACTACAAACATATTTTTTAATCAAGATTTTAAAGGACCCTCTCTACAGGGTGGATCATCGGTAATGCCTCAGTCTATAGAGTCAAAACTGCTTTATTTAAATGTTTCATAGCGAGATATATGTCAGAAATGCAACAATGTAAAAATAATTTTAATTGTACAGGGTTCTCCAGGAAAGTGATTCATATCAAAGTTAAGTTTTCTAAATGCGACAACCTGTATTTCATTTTTAATTTGAATTGCCTTCGCTTTTCCCATAATAACAATACCAAATAGTATGTGGTAACCGAGGATATTTTACACACTAAAACCAATTGTATTGATTTAAATGTATTGTATACTACAAAAGGAACAACTGAAAACCAATTTGTTTGCGGTCAGGCTCGAAGGACCAATGTAAAGTAATAAATTCAGTAGATATATTAAATTGAACTTTGACTACATTATCAAATGGTAATTGACATAAAAATTCATAACTATCAAAATGACATTCATAAACTACTATACAAATGAAAATAATACATAGGCGTACGTAATTAATATATTTTCTACACATACTCTTTGGTATTGTTATAATCAGAAAAGCAAGGGTAATCAAAATATAAAATAAAATACCTAACTTTAATATGTATCACTTTTCTGAAGAACACGGTATAATTAAAATTATTTTTAATTATTGCCTTTTCTCGCTGTGAAAACAGATTTAAAAAATCAATCAGTTTTGTATCTACAGACCGATGCGTGACCGGTGGCCATCTGTGTATAATAGAATACGAGGAAGGAGCAAAAAAATACGGATTAAAAAAATACAACCGTTACTAAGCGTAGTAGCATGTTCTCCCGCTAGATGCGGGTAGTAGAGGAAGATTTAAAGGAACAAATAGTATTTGAAATATTACTTGCAGCTTAAAAAACCAGCAACGTTTTTTAAAGTTTTATGATTAACACACAAGTTTTTAAGTGGCTTGGACGTTTTCAACGTGGTGACATGAGTTGTGGGTGCCCTTGATCATCTCAAAACAATTAAAACTGAACAAATTCACCAAAAAATTAACAAAGATCGTCGTTTTACGATCAATGGTATTTCAAAATAGACAGGAGTAAGTTGGAGCTCGCGATAACAAATTTTGATAGATTTTGCAAATAAGGTGTGCTGTCGTTAAGTTTGTACCTCGTCCCGCACACACGGCCTTGTATGTGAACCGCTATTTGAACTCTCAGGGGTGGCCTATCTTTCTCCACCCTGGATATTCGCCAGGCTCAGTCCTGTTAGAATAAAAAAAAAATCCAAAAGGAGAGCTTCGCAGGGAGCACAGGATGACGTCAAAGTATAAGACTCTCCAGAGGTACTTCAAACAGTGGACTTGACAAGTGCATAGATTCTAATGGAGAGTACTTTGAAGGAGTTTTGTACGAAATCTAAAAAAAAATTTAGAAAAAAAACTGTTTTTGTGGGGTAACCCTCGTATGCGTAAGTTTCTATTACCATTAGAATATAACAAAGGTATAAGCAACCAAAAATATAAATGCACTCGTTTTTTATTAAATTAGAAATTTTGTAATAAACTTTTAAGAAAAGCATTTAGCATTAGAAAAGTGCGAGATCTTCTGTAGTCTAATCAACAAGTCCAAAAGCGCGTTTTTGGGACATACTATTACGAAAATTACGTTCAATAGCTCATTCGATTCGGAATAATGTCTAGATCAATGTCTGAAGAAAAATTTTGCAGTGCATAAAAAATTGCAAAAGTTATTAACAATTAAACACCTCAAAAACATGGTGTTTGGTTTTTCGCCAATAGTTTGTAAACTATAATTATTTTTGGATTTTTCAAAAAAGATCCTTAAAGAGAAGGAAATTTGCTATAAATAAGTTTCGACTCCCGGAACTGTACCTCCATTATTTATAATTTTAATTTAACGCTCAAAGTAGCCTTCCGCGCGCCATTTTTAGGTTGCGCGCACGGCGTCGAAACCGAGTACGTTACATAAAATAATTTTTTTAAGTTAATAAAATTAAATTCAAAAATTTAAAAAAATTACGGTGTATTCTAAACACTTAGAAGAATTCATTCCCGTTGGAATTATTCATAAAAATTAATTTTCCAACAAAGTAGGTTATTGTTAATTAACAAAATTTTTAGAATTGATAAATTTAAAATTGATAAAAATATTAAATAATTACCGTAAATTTTTTTTGCTTACATATAAAACAAAATAGTTTCATAAAAGTTTAAAAAATATTAATACTTTGTTTATAATAATTTTTTAAAGTTTACAAAAACAGAAAAGTCACAGTGGTGCTATAAAAAATTTTTTGTTTCAATTTATTATAATATTACTGTTTTAATGTCGAGAAAATACATTTATTAATTAAAAAAAAAATTTGGACAAAAAAAAATTGGACAAAAAAAATTTGGATCAAAAAAATTTGGACCAAAATAATTGGATCAAAATTTTGTACAAAAAAAAATTTGGACCAAAAAAATTTGGATCAAAAAAATTTGGACCAAAAAAATTAGGACAAAAAAAATTTGGACCAAAAATAATTTGGTCCAAAAAAATTTGGACCAAAAAAATTTGGACCAAAAAAATTTGGTCCAAAAAAATTTGGACCAAAAAAATTTGGACCAAAAAAATTTGGACCAAAAAAATTTGGACCAAAAAAATTTGGACCAAAAAAATTTGGACCAAAAAAATTTGGACCAAAAAAATTTGGAAAAAAAAAAATTGGACCAAAATAATTGGACCAAAAAATTTTGTACAAAAAAAAATTTGGACTCAAAAAAATTTGGATCAAAAAAATTTGGACCAAAATAATTTGGACCAAAATAATTTGGACCAAAAAAATTTGGACCAAAAAAATTTGGACCAAAAAAATGTGGACCGTTTTCTTTTATGTACGAAGGTAAAAAAGTAATACACCACATTTATTATGGAACTGATTACAGGTGTAGGAGAGCATACAATATAGTCCAGGCAATAAGTAATAATAATTGTTATAATTTCTTACAAAACTGAGGAGGTATCTTAATGTTTACAGAGCTCATAAAGGGGAGTACCTTTGTAGAAAATATATTATTTACGAGCGCCTATGTATTATTTTAATTTTTTATGTAGTAGTTTATGAATGTCACTTTTGATAATAATTTTGAATGTTCATGTCAATTACAATTTTGTAATATATTTCAAGTTTAAACGTAGTATTTCCTTTGGATTTATTATTTTACATTGGTCCTTCGTGTTAATTCGAACGTACTATGGAAAACAGGACATCAGTCTCTGAAGTTGGAGTCCGTAGGAGCAGAAGAAAAAATTTTGGAGAACGACAAAATAAACGAAGCGGCTTTTAGGTCACCATGTAATATAAATAATACAAGGTCTTTCATTAATAATTGTCGATATTGTTTTTGACCATTTTCGTTGGTTTTCTAAACTTATTCGTTTCTCTTTGGATCCTTAAATGCTATTTCTAATATTAATATTCATTTCCCCGGTTAATTCTATTTTTCAAAGTTTTCTCTAGTGAATGAACAAAATGAAACAAGAATACTGCAACAAATGGAGTATGTCAATTTTTCCAATTTTTTTTTTACAACTTTCTAGACAATTGCCAATTATGATTTTTAAAAAAAAAATTTTCTTAATAATAACTTTTAATTGTTTATAATCGTTTTTTTAATATATCTATTGTTTAAACTATTAGTTAAGAAATGTGTTTTTTTTTTAATCATAATTGACAGTTCTCTACAAAGTGAGAGCAAAAAAAAATTTTTTTTATTAATAATTCCATTGTTTATTAAGTTAACAATTTGTTATAAACAAATTCCCAACTTTGGTTTATTTGTTTCCTGAAAGAAATAAAAATTCCAAAAACGACTTAGTGCATTAAAATTACGGAAACAATTTTATTCCATTTTTTATTAAACTTTGAAAATATACGTACTATCAAAGTTGCAGCAGCTGATTCATTTGTTGACCAAAGATTTAGTAAAAAAATTATAATAGTTTATAAAAAAATTGACTGAAAATTAAATAAACAATTGCAAATGTTATATAAATAATAGCATAACAGAATTGCCTTGAAGTTCAATAACCGAATTTGCATTATTTACTGAGCTACAATCCGCAAAAGTTCAAAAAACTTAAAAAAAAATCAATTTTTATAAACAAATATAAAAAACAACAAATTGACAATAGGTACGGAATTGACAAATGACTTATCTGAGAGATAATTTCATTGCCTACAAAAATGACTTGAATGTTTATTGTCGTATCTCCAATAGTTTAATAGTAATATCAACGTTTAAGTCAACAAATGGATCAGCTGCTGCAACTTTGATAGTACGTATATTTTCAAAGTTTAATAAAAAATCATGATTCCTATACTTTCCTTATATCTGTATACAGATAGGAAAGTAAAAATGGAATAAAATTTTTTCCGTAATTTTAATGCACTAAGTCGTTTTTGAAATTTTTATTTCTTTCAGGAATTTGTTTATAACAAATTGTTAACTTAATAAACAATGGAATTATTAATAAAAAAAATGTTTTTTGCTGTCACTTTGTAGAGGACTGTCAATTATGATTTAAAAAAAAACACATTTCGTAACTAATAATTTAAGCAATAGATATATTAAAAAACGATTATAAACAATTAAAAGTTATTATTAAGAAAAAATATTTTTTTTTAAAAATCATAATTGGCAATTGTCTAGAAAGTTGTAAAAAAAAATTTGAAAAAAATTGAAATACTCCATTTGTTTATAAAAAATTTATAAACAAATGGAGGAAAAAATTTTTTTTTTATTTAATAAATGTCTTTTCTCGACATTAAAACAGTAATATTATAATAAATTGAAAAAAAAAAAATTTTTATAGCACCACTGTGCCTTTTCTGTTTTTGTAAACCTTAAAAAAAGTATTAACATTTTTTAAACTTTTATGAAGCTATTTTATTTTATATGTATATAAAAAGAGCTCCACGAAGCAAAAATAATTACGGTAATTATACAGGGTGGCTCACGCTCAACGGGACGGAGCTTTATGAGAAAACGACCAAAGATATAAAAAATTCGTTTGGGAGGAATACGTAGGTTACAGACGGCTACAATTTAAAATTTGTTAGATGTATACAGGATGTCCCACATAAGAGAAAATATACAAAGTTATATTATTTTTAATGGAACACCCTGTTTTTTATTTTAGAATTAAAAACTACATCAAAAATAATGTCAGTTAACTAAAAGTTCCCTATTACTATTATTATTAGTTTTCGATTTATTTGAATTTTTAAGGAAAAAAAGTCTCCCAGAAATTAATTGTTTACTCTTGTTTGAATAATTTTTAATGAACTAATTTTTTTTTTCTTATCTGGGACATCCTGTATACATCTAACAAATTTTAAATTGTAGCCGTCTGTAACCTACGTATTCCTCCCAAACGAATTTTTTATATCTTTGGTCGTTTTCCCATAAAGCTCCGTCCCGTTGAGCGTGAGCCACCCTGTATAATATTTTTATCAATTTGTAATGATGAGAGAAATTCTAAAAATTTTGTTAATTAACAATAACCTCTTTTGTTGGAAAATTAATTTTTATGAAAAATTTCAACGGGAATGAATTCTTCTAAGTGTTTAGAATACACCGTAATTTTTTCAAATTTTTGAATTTAATTTTGTTAACTTAAAAAAATTATTTTATGTAACGTACTCAGTTTCGACTCCGTGCGCGCAACCTAAAAATGGCGCGCTGAAGGCTACTTTGAGCGTTAAATTAAAATTATAAATAATGGAGGTACAGTTCCAGGAGTTGGAACTTATTTATAGTAAATTTCCTCCTCTTTAAGGATCTTTTTTGAAAAATCCAAAAATATTTATAGTTCACAAACTATAGGCGAAAAACCAAACACCATGTTTTTGAGGTGTTTAATTGTTTATAACTTTTGCAATTTTTTATACACTGCAAAATTTTTCTTCACACATTGATCTAGACATTATTCCGAATCGAATGAGCTATTGAACATAATTTTCGTAATACTACCGTATTAATTCAAATGGCCGTATCTGTTTCATGCATAACGTGAGAAAAATCGGTTTTTCAAGAAAAATCACTTACGTCCAAATTTCTAAGCATTAAATCTCGGATTTTATAGAACATATATCCATGCAAATTATAGAGATGAACCAAAAATTCATTGTTGTCAGGCGTAGTAATACGCTTTTGAACTTGTTGATTAGACTACTGATAAATGAATGTCAAAAATATAAATATAAAATAAAATGGATTTTTTCTTTTTCAGAAACATTTGAGTTATGTCCGAGATGCATTAGAGGATGGTATTAATATAATTGGATACACAGCATGGAGTTTAATGGATAACTTTGAATGGCAAGTTGGATATGAGTAAGTATAACAGTTATACAAATTATGATTTTAGTTTTTAATATTCTTGTGTTGGAGGTGTTTATTTTCAAATAAAACTAACTAGTTATGTATTGTAGAGCTTTAGACGATTATTTGGGCATTCATAATTACTAGTTTTATAATTAGTTTGTTTTAATAGATTTTTATATTTTAACAATGATTATCTCCTTGTATGGAAGGATATGTCATATCTAACATGCATGAACATAACTGATTTTTTTTCTTTCTTTTTCGAACCCTCATCAGGGCTATAATGATTTTACACTTTATGATTTCAAACAAATTTTGTGTTTGTTATACTATGCAGTTATTTATTATTTGGCAATGGGGTATTATTCATTTTATACCGAAAAAATTAAAAAAAAATTCAACAATACTCTGATGTCGGAACACAAAATAGATCTATATAACGCTCCCATGGAATGAGATAAACATTATTAAAATAATAAGAAAAATCTAAATAATTACATATTGTATTAAAAATAAAAATACTAATTTAATGATTCATTAAATAATAATCTTATCGTAATTATTAAAGATATCATTTATTGTTTCCGTAACACCTAAGCTTTTTTATTTGGAGATGATTTAATACTTTTCCAAATTGTTAATGAATACATCCTTACACTTCAGTTTGACCTTGATAATCTATCAGAATCATGTTTTTTGAATGGCATGGGTTTAAAGGTTAATTGCATATAAATTGTCATATCATGAGTTTTTATCGTTCACACCTATACTTCCAGCTACATTTGAGTATAAATAAATTAATAATAAAAAAAACTATAATAAAACTTGTTCAGACAATAACAAACCCCGAAAGTTCTACAATATCATAAAAAACAAATCAAGAAAATAAAAAAATTAAATTTACAAATAAAGTGAAAAAACCATTAACAAATAGGATTTTTCTAAAAATTTATGGTTAATGCGTACCATTTACCAATAATATTCGATAGAATAAACAACCTACGAAATCCCCCATAAGATACGCCTATGCGGCTAGTCGAAGTGAATTAATCAGTCGTTTTAGAATACACTAGATTGATTACGGCAGCGCCTAAACAACAATTTTGGGGAATGCATTTCTATATAAAATATTGGAAGCATGTTCTAAGAATATCTTGAATCACATTTTTATACAGGGTTATTCATAACTATTGGGACATAGATTAAGGGCAGGTTATTTAGATCAAAATATGGCGATAGGACCAAATATACCTTAATAAAATATGGCTGTGGAATAAGATACAGGGCGTTAAAGTTGGATTTTCTTTCGTTTTTTTTTTATAATCTCACTGTATATTTATGAATTGTTATCAAAATTGGCTCAAAGGCATATCTTTGGACAAGGGATATTATTTTATGTATTATTTCAAATTTTTTTACAGGGGGCGCCACGAGAATGATTCCTGATGATGAAATTAAGTGGTAAGTTTTTTTGCCGAAACTTTTTAGTGCTTTTTATTAGAAAATATTACGTAAACATCATTTCTACGTAATATTGGTACTCCTGTTTAAACACGATAATTTCACCTGTTTACGAGAAAAACGCAATTGAACAGTTCAGAGTCTCAGAAGAATATTTCAAAATATATTTTATTTATGAAAAGTGTTCTTTGGACTGTCAGATAATTGTGTCTGGTAAATGTCAGTTCTTGCCAATTAATTATTTTTGCTGTGAGATTATAGTCTATTGTTGCATTTTTTAAAGCTTTTTCGACTGAAATTCCTCGTCATAATCATTTTACGAATGAAGAAATGCGGGATATGGTTTGTGTATATGCACAAGAAAATTTTTGCGGTCGCATGGCAGCCAGAAGGTATGAATTGTTATATCCAGACAGAAGGCAACCAAATCACAAAACTTTTGCAAATCTATTTTATCGTTGGGTGTAACCGGGTCATTTCATAGTAAAAATCTGGGTGGTCGTCCGAAACAAATCACACCTAATGAAGAAGATGAAATTTTGGTTCGAGTAGATGAAAATCCTGAAGTAAGTTCACGTCAACTGGCAATAACAACAGAAGTCAGTCGTTTATTATTAGAGTTTTAAAAAAAGAAAAGTTTCATCCTTATCACTTCACTCCTGTTCAAAATTTGCTTCCACGAGATCTCCCAAGACGGTTACAGTTCTGCCAACGTATTCTCAACAAACATAATGATGACCGAAATTTTATTAAAAATATTATGTCCACCGATGAAGCGACTTTTACTAGACGAGGTGTTTTTAATTATCGAAACAGTCATCACTGGGAAGAAGAAAACCCGCATGCTCGTAAAGAAAGACATTTTCAACATGAGTTTAAATTTAATATTTGGTGTGGCATTATAGGCGACCAACTACTAGGGCCATATCGTCTTCCTCCAAATTTAAATGGAGATTCCTATTTATTTTTTTGCAAAATACTTTTAGAGATATTTTGGATGATATGCTAGATGTAAGAAGGAAAATGTGGTTCATGCAGGATGGAGCTCCACCTCATTTCCCATTAGTTGTTAGAAATTATCTAAGTGACATATTTCCTCAACGTTGGATTAGCAGAGGAAGTAATTTTGAATGGCCACCAAGAAGTAATGACTATAACCCTCTTGATTTTTATGTATGGGGACATATGAAGTCCTTAGTTTATACCCAGGAAATTAATTCACGAGACGAACTCTGGAGGAACATACAAAATGCGGGTAATTTTATAAGGGGACAGAATAATATTTTCTTTGCCATCCGAAAGTCCTTTATTAAAAGAATTAGAAAAGGCATAGAAGTCGGAGGAGGTCACATTGAACATTTAATTTAAGTTTGCTTTTTTTATGTTAAATTGTTGATAATTTTGCTATACCGTTGAAATAGAAGCCTTACGTTACAAGTTTTCTTATTGTGTTATTTGGAATCCCCTTCTGAAACACTGAACTGTTCAATTACGTTTTTCTCGAAAACAGGTGTTTAAACAAGATTACCGGTATTACGTAGAAATAATTTTTAGGTAATATTTTCTAATCAAAAGCACTAAAAGTTTCGCCAAAAAAAGTTACCACCTAATTTCATCATCAGGAATCATTCACGTGGCGCCCCCTGTAACAAAATGTAAAATATTACATAAAATAATATTTCTTTTTCAAAGATATACCTTTGTGCCGATTTTGATAACAATTCATAAATAAACAGTGACATTATCAGAAAAAAAAAACGAAAAAAAAAATCAACTTTAACGCCCTGTATCTTATTCCACAGCCATATTTTATGAAGGTATATTATTTATATAGGTATATTTTGGTCCAAATAACCTGCCCTTAGCCTATGTCCCAATAGTTATGAATCACCCTGTATAAATAGTCCAAGTTTTTCAACTGAAATCAGTTTAAGTTGATAGATCGCTGTGAGCAGAATAATAGTGACTATTTAAATTAGTATCTATGATATATAAATTAGGAGTATTACGTACATATAAATTAAATTAGCGTATTTAATGTAAATAAATTAATTTTACAGTATTATCAAGAGTTAAATACGATTATAAAAGGCAAGCTAGATAAATATTATGCTGGGACTATAAAATTAGTGTGAGCATGTATTTTCCATAAATATTTACAAATTGAAAAGCTATCCAACAAAATTGGAGGCTTATTTTGTTACGTAGAATCAATTACGTGACCGCGTGATTGTTTTTCAAAACGGTTTAGACAGTACGCCAAATTAGTTCAAAATGCCTCGATTTCACGATATTGGAACAGGTAAATAAATCTAAATTCTCAAAAAATTGTGCTCGAATGGTATTTGGAAATACAATTCTATGAATAAATAAACTTTAATAGTGACAGAAGAAAAATACATATTAAAATAAGCTTTTTAGAAAGAATACTTGTTAAAAACACAGTTATAGTACATAATTTGTATTGCTGACTACTTGCTGATGTAGATTTTGTTATTGATGATGGCATGGATGTTGTTGGTATAATAGAATAGTCGCAAGGTTTGAATAATGCCCATTATCGAGTTGAAAATATGGGTTTATAGGTTTAGATGAGGAATGTCTAGTTATTTAATTAATTCTTTTCACTGATATCTGCTTTAGGTTAATTTGACACTGCATTGGAGCAGAAAGAAATTATTTATTCATGGTATCCAACTGAAATTTTCACCCACTTAAGAATTTCGTTAATAATTCCTACAAGCTACCATTATAGTCATAGAAGATTGGCAAAGGCCATTGACTATAACAGCAGCACCAAAACATGTAATTAAAAAAGAACAATTTGACGAATTTTACGATAAAGTAGGAAATATTTTTCTTATGGGTGGCGATTATAGTGCAAAGCATACTTACTCCAGAGTTACTACACCAAAGAGTAGACAACTTTACCTGGCTATGGAAAGTAATAATTTGAAATATTTATCCACCGGTGAACTATGTTATGTTATGTTGGGAATGGGGTGTTAATACCCTGCGACCTAAACGATCTATTGTGCCTGCTTCTGTCGCTAATGCAGCAAAGAAATGTCTCAATGCCTATAACGAACCTTTCAATTCTATCTTCTCACGGAAGTGTAGGATTTGGAGTTAGGTAAATCTCCCTATTCTATTTGATATCCTCCTAGGTATAATGCCTATAGTGCTACACATTCAGTTAGTACTCTTAGTGTATTTAGATGTCCTTTTAGTCGTCAATGCCCGGTAAGGATTCCTGTTATAATACGTAGCCTGTTCTTGCTCATGCAGATGTAACCTTCCGATCTTTTCTAGTTATATTCCCCCAGAAGTATCTTGGTTTGTCTCAGCCACAAGAGATTATTCCAATTCTTTTTTATCTCTCCTAACATATTGGCCCATTGATCGTAATAACCTGCCTGCTTTATCGATTTTTGTGTGACCCAAAATATATTTGCAAACTATCAAAATGCAACAACTTACTTATTCTCGGATTATTTACACAGCCTAATGATTCTTAGTACAGTACCATAACAGCCAGCATTAAGCAA